GCTCAGTTGCCGACTGAGGTTAAACCACGACACCAAGTCATGGGCCCTCCTCCTGCCTGTCTCCCTCCTCATGGGGCCAGTGCATCCCGCAAGTGATCTTGCAGTTGCACTGCATGTAGTTTCAAGGAGTCAGGTAAACCTCGGATTAGGGGAGTCATTCTGTCAGGGTTAGCAATTAATAACGTCGGGGAAGGTTGTTGAGGGACCAAATGCCTATCATGCATTAATTGGAGACAAGCAGCCTTTTGCAAACTCTCGATCAAATGGTTTGTGGTCGGAGTTTCAATACACAGAGAATCTCCCCTTTCCAAGGGGTCTAGACCCCCTGCCCAATAGGCAGCTCACTGGGTTAATGACCATGGCTCCCTGGGGTCATCAGTAGTTAGGAAAACCCCTGGCCACCAGTACCCCTGGGCCTCATCTTCCGACAACAGGTCCCGGTCACCACCAGTTAGCGATACTCTCCATACATATTCCGTTTCAGTTTCTTGGGCCAACCTGGTATATTTTTCTTGGATCTTTGACATTTCGGCTGCCGAGTACGGTACCGTCTGGGTGGTAATTTGTGGAGCTCCCCCACCTTGGCCGTCATCAGTGGTCTCCGTTTTAATCACTGGCCTCATCACCACTTCCCCATTCTTGGGGTGAAATACTTCTTGTTCAATTTCTAGCTCTTTACTTGGGTACAAAGGTCTTAGGCTCTGCTTTTCGGCCATCTGTGCCAAGCTTGTAAATCCCAGAACACTATCCGGAACAGAAACAAGATCTGTCCGGTTGGGAGATTTTTGTCCCCCTTCCTCTAATTCGGACTGCAAAATTTTCTCTTGGTCCAATGCATCTGACAGGACCACATGGAGTCACTGAGTAGTATTATGGTCAGTGGCTAGTTGACCCTGCAGAGTTTTTATTTGTTCTTGCAAACATTCAACCATGTCATCATTAGTTCGCTTAAACCAGGTGCCTCTCCTTCTGGGCTGCCACTAGTGCTGCTCCCAACACAGCACACACCGTGGCTTTCCCTTTTCCCGGTCGAGCCTTTTGTTCTTTCATGAGGGTTGTGATTTTGTCCGCTACAGCTTCTGGGTCGTGCCAACTACTATAGGCCCATGCCATCCCTGGTGGGGAAGGGCATGCCTTATATTCCTTTAACTTTTCAACCACAGGGAGGCAGTCAAGCGCCGGCATTTCCCGGGCAGCCATGGCTTGCCACTGCTCAAACCTCTCCCGGCTTATCGCTGAGAGGTCACTTCCCGGCTCTCCCCGCCCGCACTCACCGGGTGGAGAGTCGGTATCCCTTAGGACCTTCCAACACTGAGGGGATCCATATGTCATACAAGCTAAGCGGCTTTATGAGGAGTTGAGGTAGGCCTTGTGTTACTTAGCAGCATCAAAAGCAGAGAGCAAGAAGGAGGAGGGGGGGAGAGAGAGAGAGAAAGAGAGAGCTGGGAAGCAGGAGAGAGAGACATCACCAGTCCTGGATCCAGCGTCAGACCTGCCAATGGGGGGTGTTGGTGTGGAGAGCGCCCCAAGGAGGCTCGTGTGCGCCCCTATTTATTGGCCCCAGTCCAAGGTTTCTAGAATCTTCTCTCACCCCGGTTTCAGGAGTGGTTGAGACATTAGTCAGTCAAGGAGAGTGACACTGGGTCCCTCCCCGTGGCTGGCTTCTGGAGCTTTCCCTGGGGGCATTGTCTGTGTTCACAGCACAGTCACTTGGGCCTCGTCCCTTACACCTTCTCAGGGTTTCTCCTTGCCGACACGGGACCTAGAAAACTGGCTGGTCCCCACATGCAACGCAGCCACTGAGAACACAATGCATCAGTGGACGTCTGAACCTGTGCTTTCTCTGACGCTACATTTCTCTGTCACACAAGTCCCAGCTGGACTTTAAAGCCCAGCCACCTGCAAGCTGCTGGCACAGCACTTGGTATAGATTCATTGGAGCTGCTCCTGGGCTGGAAGTAATGAGAAAATCAAACCTTCAGCAAGTGGGTTCAGTTTTCCAGTTCAAAGCTATTTTTTCATTCGCCCTCAGCTTTCCTAGGCCAATACTGTGCCTCCTGCCCTCCCCAGCTGAGCAGCCTCTCAGCTTCTTCTCCCTGCATGTATTTGCTATGAAGTCCCCATGTCGCGGCACGGCCAGCTCAGCAGCATCCAGGTGTGGGAACCCTTGCCCAGGACCTGCCTTATTGCTTGGGATGCTTTCAGGGGTATGAGGCAATCGTCACAACAGCAGAGTGACTAGGACTAGCCCAGAAAGCTCTGAAAACCAGAGCAGCTGATTCCCTCCTTTGCTAAGGAGATGGTGTTTCAGCCAGCAAAGGTGCTGGGGGTTAGAGGTGGCTGGAGCAGCACCTCCCAGCCCTGCCTGCTTCAGCAGAGGACAGCTTGGTGCACCATTTAGCCTGACATGAGGCAAATGTATAGTGCTCTTGGCCAGAGCAGGACACTGCTGAGCTATTTGAATTACTTGTGTCCCCTGATTGAACCCGGAGCACACTTCAGTGTATCACAAACCTGCACTGGAGATGGAGAGAGGTGAAAACTGGCCCATTCCCTAAGGCTGTCTGCAGCTCACCCAACTCAGGCATGGCTCCCGTGGGGTGAGAGGCACCAACGGGCTGAAACGCCCTCAGCCAAGCTTATCAGGGACAAAAATGACCCCATGCCCCATCACAAGTGGTTGGAGTCCTGTCTTGCACTGTTCACCACCCGCAGCCCGCTGGTGCCCATGGCACCATAGTCGGCGTGAGGAACAAGGGCGGCCTGAATGAGGACCCCAAGTTTCCACCCGCTCAGGTTCTGTCCTGGTTCATGTCCCCCGGTGTGTAGCAGGCACCAGCCCTACCTGTGGGGGTAGCAAGCCCAGACCCCTGGGGGTACCCAGCCAGCCCAGCCGGGGCACTGCCGCTGCCACGAGGAGTGCCTGGTTAGTGGAGAATTGCACACGTTCATCTGGGGAAGCTGGGAGCGTGGGCTTTTCCAGAGCTACCGCAGCATCCCCTGGAGCACAGAAGAAAGCAGAAATCGATCATGGGGGAGGACCACCTTCACTGCAGCAGTCTGTTTTTTTCCTGCTGGGTACAGCTGTGCCACCCCGAGAGCCAGCAGCTAGGTTAGCATGAAAAAACTAAGAGGGCAGGGGTTGAACATGTCTCTATGCCGGCTCCTGCCCACACGTGTTCATGGGGAAAGGGTGCTCTCAACCAGAAGGCGGCTGGCCTCTCCAGTGGGGGCAGGTGGGTTGAATTTCCAAAGGAAGCAAAAAAAAAAAGCATTTTGCTACCTTCATGCAAATTCTGTCCACAATCTACTTCATCAGCTGGACTGTGCTGCCTAAAAGCAGATACATGCCAGAAGCACACAGGGCTTCGGACAGGTATTAAAGAGGAAACCTGTATCCCACTGAGGCTGTCCCAAAATCATCCGCACCAGCTGGGCAGTGCCTGCCACATTGCTAAAAAAAAAAAAAATCCAACCAAAACCAGCAGCTCTACAGTAATCTTAGATTTATTACTTACATAAACCCCACCCTCCCCAGCCATAGGACGCATTTCCCGGGAAATCCTCCTCTTCCTGCCCACAAAGAGTAGTCATGGGTCACCTGTGAGCTGCGGCCTCAGAGGAACCCAGGAATAACTGTTGGGGCTCCCAGATGCTGCCTTATAGACAAACGTTCCCTCATGCACCACGCACAATCAATCACACACTTACACCAGCCATGGTGTCCTGGTGCTCTGGAAGGTGCTCACAAAGCTGGTACCCAGCTTCTAGTATTGGGGTGTGAGGAACAACTAAATGACTAGCCCCATTCCGTGTGGCACATCAGCATTTTCTGTTACAAGCGGTCCTGCTTTGCTGGGGACATTGGCAGCGCCAATGCCCACAGGTCAGAAGCACCGCATCCTGCAAGCTGCGCACCGAGGTCAGGGATCAGTAGGCATAGCCAGATCACGGCTCCCCTGCTGCTGGACTTACACATCTCCTTACACATCTGTATCATTGGTCATACCACAAGAGGGGCATCCAGGACCCATGCTTGGAGAATACAGGCATGAAGATTTATTTTATGGCTTCATCAGATTCCTCCAAGGGTATGTTCAGCTTCTGCCGTTGCTCCCGACATAAATCCCACCATTCCAACTCCTACAGCCAAGCAATGTCCTGGCTGGGGCATGTGGGAGAGCCTGGCAGCAAACCTTACCCTAGCCAACAGCATCCCGGGTTGCCTTAGGATGAATGTTGTCAGCAGGTTAAGGAAGGTGATCCTTCCTCTCTAAATCGAGTGCTGTGTCCAGTTCTGGGCTCCTCAGTACGAGAGAGACATGGACATACTGGAGAGTCCAGCAAAGGGCCACTAAGATGACTAAGGGACTGGAACATCTCTTGTATGAGGAGAGGCCGAGAGCTAGGACTGTTCAACCTGGAGAAGGCTCAGGGCAGATCTTATCAATGTGTGTATCTGATAAGAGGGAATGAAGAAAAGGGACCCAGACTCTTTTCAGTGGTGCCCAGCGACGACAAGAGACAGTGGGCACAAACTGAAACGTGAGAGTCCATCTGAAGACAAGAAAACACCTTTTTACTGTGAGGGTGGTCAAATTCAGGAACAGGTTGCCCAGAGACACCGAGTCGCCTCCAACTGTGGAGATACTGAAAACCCAAATAGACACAGTCCTGGTCTGCCTGTTCCAGGTGACTCTGCTTGAGCAGGATTGGACTAGATGATCAAGAGGTCCCTTCCAACCTAAATGATTCTGTGAGAATAAAAACCAAATACCAACAGAAAAAAATTGAGTGCACAGTGCAGCAGGGAGGCTGGAACCCAAACCTGCCCTCAGACTGGTATATCGCTACATATAACCTTCGCCTTTGTGTGCCCCTGCGGCAGCAAACTCTCCTACAACATAAAAATTAATTCATCTGTGCTGATGGCATTGAAGGTGTGAAATAAGGTACTGCTGCAAGCAAAGCCACTCCATGGTGGTATGCACTGTGCTTTTCAGGACATGAGAAAACACCCTGCATACTCACCTTGTGGGCGGTGTGGTAAATTGCTCAGGATTAGCACACAGAGTGACAAAGTGCTCAGTGTGGGAAGGAAATAAACAGCCCAAGGAGAAAGAGACAGCTTTATTTAAGGAATTGAAGTGAGGTCTGGAAGGATGAAGCCAGCAGTTGCCTGAGGAGTTGTGTTTCTGAGAAAGTGCAGTTCAATCCTTCCTGGCATAACACCCTCAGAGAAAAGAGCTGCTGGGGCCAGCAGGTTTGTGCCAACTGAGAGGGGTCCCTCCTTGCTCTCCATCCAACCCAGCAGGGCGCTGACCAGCTCCACACTAGGTGCCTGTTCTTCCCTGATAAAGAGACCTTCCAAGAGCTGCAGAGAGCCAGCACAAGGATACTGGCAGAGGCTGCTGTCCTGGCTCTCTGCAGGAGTTCATACAACACCTCTTCTAGGGTAAGCCAGAACAAACCAACAGAAAAAAAATGAGCTTTAAGGTGCAGCTGGTCCCTTCCCCCAACACACTCTTTGATGCAGGGAGAACACAGTCCAGTAGGCTTTACTCCAGCCACAGCCATGACTGGTGATGTCCAAGCCACCTTGAGTGTTACAGGGACTGGTCAGCACTGTCTGGTGGAGAGACCCACGAGCATGACTGACCTGTTCCTCTTGCAAGAATAAGCCCAGGCACCACCCAGAGCAAATGTAACCTTGCTGTGCCCAACAACTTCTCTCTGTAAACAAAAGCAATGCCTGGCTTACAGCCAAGTCAAAGAGAATCAGATTCCAAAAAGAATCAACCCTGGTGGATCAGTACCGTGGTTTTGCTGGCAACATTGGAGCAAGCAGCTGCCTTCAACCAGCCTGAATGCCACTGTCCCATAAGCCACGGGCACCCACTGTCACTGACGAACGTTGATCATGCAATGAGTAGTAACAGAGTTGCTCTGTTGGCACTGGACTGGGTTTTGCAGTTTCCTTTTTCACTGGCAAGGCAACGGCCAAGCAGGCTGCTTTGCGGGTGCTCAGTTCTTCCATCGGATTTGCTAAAGAGAGAACGAGACATGACTAACATCAATGCTGAACACAGAACCCTCAAGGGCCAAGTTAGCGAGTTCCAATCCCTGACAAGGACAACTATGGCCAGAGGGTGCTATTTCTATCAGCTTCACCCTTCATTCCTACGCTGACCACAACCCCAAACATAAGATTAGCTTCTCAGCAGGGATAAAAAGTATGCAGGACAGCTATGCTCTTACACCTAATCTACAGCCGTTTCTGATGAGAGTCTCTGGAAGAAGAAGTAGGCGTTTCTTACCACGTTGTTGAGAATGCTGTTTATCTTCTCTTCTTCTGCAGAGCCTCGCTCCACCTTGCATTTATATGCTGTCAGCTGGATGCGATCCTTTAGATCCCTGTACGTCTAGATAAACAGCAAAACCAGCCCCCAGTTGAGTGAAGAGGACACTTCCACAGTTAGATGGTGCCCTGTAGATGAGCAGGGCAACTCTTCAATCCCCCCTCAAGTTCCCACCACAGCACAAATGCTAGGAGCCACTCTCCTGGCTCATTTGGCTTCCACTGGGAACCCTATCACTGCTCCCAGGCCACAGGGATAAACAAACCTCACCAGGCATATGACAGCAGTGGCACATGGCAGAGCATGGGAAAGCTAGGGAGAAAAAGTAGGCTCTTGTCCCATCTTTCCACACACACACAGCAGGGACCTACCTCAATGACAACATCATGGCACTTGTATTTGGTGGCGAGGTTCAGCTGTGTCTCCAC